CCAGTGTCTGACAGACCAGAGCACAATGCCAGATATGTAACTCTATTGCCCTGTCACAGCCTAAGGAGCCCTTCATGCTGCCATCTAACCCTGAATTCCCATTCTAACAAATTGTGATTGACTTTTTCAACTTTCATGGTAGAAATTGTGTTATATATGCAGATTGGTACACTGGTTGGGTGGAAGTGGCCCTAATGTCATCTGAGAAGGCTAGGGCAGTATGTGACACCCTGAGAATTTGGTTCTGTACATTTGGTGCACCTGAAGAACTTTCTTTTGATTGTGAACCATTTTTTGTTCCTTAAGAATTGGCGAATACGGAAATGTACTTTGTCAGTTTACTACCCACAAAACAATGGCCATCAAAACGGAAGTGTGTACTTGCAGACAATGTGGACAGCTGTGGTTGGCTGTGTCTTGATTGTGCACCCAATGCTTTGCTGACCCAACACAACACTCCTGTCCAGGATCTTAGCATTTCTCCTGATATGATGTTATACAGTTGTGTTATCAAAGTGGACTGATAGAGACAGCAATGGCTAAAAGGCATATGTAGAATGAACACTTTTACAAGGGACATTGTCGACCACTTCGGGAATTACAAATTGGTGATTCTCTTAAGATCCAGAATCAAAATGGCCCTTACTCTTGTCAGTGGATGAAAATGGAGAATTGCAGAGATAATTGCGGTAACTGGCAGTAACGTGTGTGGGTGGATGGAAGCAATACGGTAACTCTATGCAACTGTCCCTTCCTCTGTAAGATCTACATCGTTGTTGACATCTCACAGCATTCTACCCAGGGAGTGGGTACTTCAATCTCATGGCATCCCAATTTACAGCCGGTTCAAGATAGCAACACAGAAAATAGATTAACCACATCTAAGCCAGAACTGTATAATATTTCTGCAGGTTCTAGGATATCGATGCAGCAACCTGGTGAATCGTCTATGGTAATTGACAAGGAATATAATCCCTTATCACCCGACATACAACAAAAATCAAATAGCATGAGTAATGAACCAGAAGAAATGGAAATTGATGACAACGCAGATTCAGTGGGCCCAATACAAAATAATACTGGAGAAAACCAATATCGTATGACACCAGCCCCAAGTCAACGGCCACATTGAAACACACAGGTACCTTGAACTTTATCCCTACAAACATGAAGACAATTACATATTCTGGGACAAACCTTCAACTGACCATGTCAATCCTGACCATTGAACTAACAACCAAATTTTACTGTAAAGAAAAACAGGGCTAATAAACAGAAGGATAAAATACTTTTTTTTTTCTCTCTCTATTCATTAACTCTTATTTAAACATTTATTAATCTTAACAGCCTAATATTAAATGAACGTTTTTGAGAGTGTCTACGACAAACAGAGAGCACAAAATGCAACTCTTTAGAGAAGTGGAGACATGCCAGGATACTTTGTGTGGATTTGTGAAGAAAGCTTTTTAATTGCCTCCAAGATTTATCATTCTCAGCCTATATGTTATTCCTTTTCTATCAATGTCAAAGGATGATGAATAATAATGTTAAAAACTGTAATGACCTTTAAAAGAGACAAAGAAAATAATAGTTGCAATTCAGCATTATAATAAATGGCAACCAGAGAATTGGTTTCAAATGACAAACGTGGGAAAAGTCAGCAAAATTTTTTTAAAAAGTTAGCATTTTCCTTTGATTTTTGCTAATGAAATTCAAGTTGATATTTAAAGAACATGGAAAGGGAAGAAATAAAAGATATCCCAAATATTTTTTAATAGAAACCTTATTGATAAAGTCTCCACTTTCTCAGAAAGACAGAAATGTATAAAGAATTGTGGAACTCTCTGCTGTTTGGCAATGTCCTGGATGTTGATGGAAACAATTACAATCAGTTGAAAATGGCCATATTCAGTATTTTCTATAAATTAGAACATGTTCATATATGAATAATGTTATAGTCACATAGCAAATTTCTATGTAAACATAACAGGATGTCATCTTTGATGGTGAACATCTCTGTTGTAATGTCCCTGTAACCACTCTGATGGTGGGTCATATGAGCCGAAAGCTTAGATTGAGGAACAGTATAATAAAAAAAAATATCCAAATGTTGGACAGTTTTTGTCTTTATTTTCTCCCGAAACTAAAGCCACTATACAAAGCTTAGAACAGCTCATGATCAAACGTAAGACATTCACTGTCTGTTATATTTAACAATATATGTATTAATAATGATCCCTAAATATATTTATAAGTAAACATTTCTGAGCAGTTTTCAAAGTTAATTGAAGAAAATTCTAGTCAGACAGAATAGGTATTCATGGGTTTGCTCTCATTTTAGTTCACTGCAAAATTTTCATAAAACTCATCATTAACATGATTTAAATTCATTCTTGTAATCTTGCTTGTGCTTTACTTGTATAAAAAGAAATACCTTAGCAGTTTAGTTTATTGGAAATGTTTTTTGTTCTTTATATCATCTTATTTTCAATTTAACATGGTTTATTTTGGTGAGCCAAATAACTTTGTACTTTCCCAAGGAAAACCCTACTTTAAAATATATACAATCATCAATTTACAGAAACCTCCTTTAAAAAAACAGCATCTATGAATGAATGTGCTTCCAGTAACACACACACACACACACACATATATATATATTAAATGTTAACAATGATTTTACTCACAAGGGAGTGCTGGAAATTTATCAGTCTAACTAAGCTAAAAGATATTTGGTGATATTTTGTTTAGGAATGGTCTTCTTTCAGATAAGCAATATGGCTTCCACTTCTCTAGGTCAACTACTGATATATTAATGAATATTGCTGAAAGAGTCTATCAAGCTTTAGATAAAAATGGTGAAGCTCTGGCTGTTGCTTTGGATATCTTGAAGACATTTGACAGGATTTGGCATACTGATCTTCTTCACAAATTGAAAGGTTATGGTATTTCAGTCTTTCTTATCAAATTGCAAAATGAAATTTGTTTGAATGGCCACTCTTCTAGGTCTTTTTGCATTAATGTAGGTGTTCCCCATGGGTCTATATCCTTGGACCTATGCTGCTCCTAATTTTCATAAATGACCTTCCTGATGTCAGCAGTTCTGAACTCAATATCTATGTTAATGATACAACTATTTACTTTTGTCTTAATAGTAAGGCTAATATTTTCCACCAAACTGAATTAATTGCTAGGAAAGTTGGGTCATTGTGTCGTGTTAGACAATTTTTGTTGCCAGAATCTATCTTAAGTCTACCATTCGTCCTTGCTTTGAATATTGTTGCCACATATGATTTGGTGCTCCTGCTATATATTTAGAAATTCTTGAGAAAATCCAAAGTAAAATCTGCAATGTTATTGGTCCTAACTTTGCATCTTGGCTTCAGTCATTTTACCACTACCATAACATAGCTTCCTTGTGCCTTTTTTTTTTTTATACTTTCATGGTAATTGTTCTCATGAACTTTCCTCTATGATAACCAGACTTTATGAATTTAAATACAGTAATAGATTGGTGGCAAGGTCTCATCATTTTACATTTAAAATTTAAATGCAATGTCAATTGTTATCTTCTGTCTTCTTCATTCTTGTTTTTTATTATTATTATTGTTCTCGCTCCTTAATAATGTTTTTTTCCTCATATTCTCCAACACACAGTAATCCCTTGCATCTTAGTGTCTTTATGTCCTTGAAATGATTAAAAAGTGATTTGTGCTTAGAATTTTTCAGTAGACACCTCATACTTCCTTTTCTAATGCTCCTACATTTGGCCTTATGTCATACTAAACTAAGTTTAATTTAATATCAATTTCACACCTTGTATATCAACTTCAATTGAGTAATTAAAAATCTTAATTGTACTCGAGATGAACAAAGATCCTTTAACAACTTTAAGAAAAAAAAATATCAGTGTCCATGAAATTATCAAAAAGAGGTGAATTGAAATGTCATTTCAATCCATAGACTGATAAATATAAATCCACTAATCGTCAACTGAATAGAAATAATAACAACTAAAAAGGTTCAGTATTTATCGGGTATTTAAAAGAAAACATTCATCCAATTTGTCTTTAAGGCATAATGTTAGAAAAAGCAAAGAAAAAAAAAAGAAGGGCAATTCCTCATTTTGGTTATACTGTCAGAATATGTAATAGAAGAAAAAAAAAATTGTTCTAATATTAGAAGTAGTAAGAATTCATAGATTAAATAGAGTTTATTTAAAATTTATAAAATTTTTGTTGAAATGTCTTCTTTGAATATAAAGAACATTTTTTGAAAATGAATTACATTTGACAATAAATAAAAGATTGCATCATGTAGCAACAAACATTTCATTGATGCTGAAGGACTGTCACAATTCATTTCAGATAATTGCTGTTTGTCTTTCAATAAATGTCAAATACTGAATAAGTTTGTATTTTTTTAGATGATTTTGTATTTAAATTGTTCTTTATATAAATATCTACAAATTCACAAGCCTAAAATAATCAGCAGAAGGATTTGAACAGAAAAAAATTAACCAACTTAACCAGTTAATCTGGTTGAATAAATTCTCTAAAATGATGCTAATGTTGTTTTCTCAACTTTCAAGCCATAGCTAATAATAATAATCTGATAAAAATATTTTTTTTAAAGAAAAAATATGAAAAAAACAGTTCAGCAAATAAGCTCTACACACCTTTTAAAGATTATCTTCAATGATAAAAACTAAAACTTAACTTTAAATAAAATGTACTTTTTCTACACAAAAAAACAATAAAATTTCTTCATTAAGCAAATTTGATACAGAGAAAATGAAAATGTTGTCAACATGAGCAAATAATTGTCTACATTTGAAATTAGCCAGCATACATGCTTTATTCAAGCCGACAACAACATGCTCAGGAAAGGAAGACAAAGCAAAATAAAGGCAGGGCACGAAATGACAAAAATCAAGCCAAATCTCTGACATTGTCAAATGCAGCAGCAGCAACAACCAAACACCCAAAATAGTATGATACCTTTTTATTGAAAAGGTACGCTGTCTTTGTTGAAGTGTTAACTCCATCCTAGAAAAGGGAGAAGCAGGAAGAAACATATGCAGAATCAGTCTACAAAGCAAAGCTTATCTTTGGAAAAAAAAAAAAAAAAAAAAAAAAAAAAAAAAAAATTTAAAAGGCAAAAAAAGTGCGACAAAATAAAAGCAATACAAAAAAAAAAAAAAAAAGAAGCTCAACTGGATAAAGGCAGAAATAGAATAATACCAAATAATAATCTGAAAACTGTACCTGTTTTGTTTTGTTTCTTTTTCAATTTACAAAACTGATTATGAAAGGAATCATTTAAACTTGTAAAATTCTATTAATGAGAAAATTTTAAAAACTAAACAGACAAGTTTTTCAGTCCTCATCATGTTAGTGTTGATTATGTTTTGTTCATCTTCCTCCTCATCTCTAATAACAGTAAATCACTCCTAGGTATTTTGCTCAAAAGTAATTTTTTTTTTTAGGGGGTGGGGAGAAAAGAAAGCCCCATCCCTGCCTTCTGTTGACCAGAAGAAATATGAAAGACAGTGTAAGAGGTTGACTAAAGTAAATGTTAATATAGATTAGATCATTCATTAAACATGAGACTAATTTTTAAAAAAATGTCCTGATATGATGTATTTTCATATTTCTATTTATCATTAACTCTTCATTTTTTTTAACAATCTTTGTTCATTAATTATTTCATTTTGGTTTGTTTTGCTCATTGTTTCAATTATCTTTTCTCTCACTTTTTGATAGATGTCATCTTAAAAAGTGACTTGATTATAAAAAATAAGAAACAGGCAATGGCAGTAGCTACCTCTTCTTGAAAAGTGACTAAAACAAAGAACCTGTTTAATATCCGAGTGGAAGAGTCAGGGATCAGTAGCAAGATTGTTATTTAAAATAAAAAATAAGGTTGAGTCACCAACAAGTGGTTGGAATTTATTTGAAACACATCAAAAAGAGTAGACAAGATGGAAGCCTATTTTCCCCATAAGGAAATAATGGTTTCATTTATTTTCAGATAAGATTATTGCAAATATTGGAAATTTTCAGAAAGAAATTAGTAAACTCAACTAGTTAATATTTTAATGGTATAGAAGAATGGTATCGAAAATTCAAGTTTTTTTTTTAACTCTAGCCAAAATTTGATTGGTTACCTATTATTTTTATTTATTTTTTTTATTGTTAAGACAATTTTTCTGAAAGAAAAATTCTAGAAAATAATAATAGCCCTGAAAATACTATAACTTTATTGACAATATTGGAGACATTTAGATTTCATAAACTTTGGGAAGAGTGTTGGGCCAGGAACTTTTAGCACATCTACATAATTTAATTTTTCTTGCTTGATTTTCTGTTCCCAAATTGTGAATAATTTGTGGATAGAACAAAATGTTGAAAATAATTCTTTTGTCATTTTAAGAAAAGGGACACCAGAGAAAAAAAAAGGTGTCAGTGTTGAACGGAAGAAATTGAAATAAAAACAATTCTTAGTAAATATTTTAAATAATAATAAAAACTCGTAAGTAGAATTCAAGGAGTCTAAAACAAAATACAGAAGCCTTCAGAATAGATGAAGACTTAAAAAGAAACAAAAAGTGGGCTTTTTAAGTAATTGTGAGGTCTGGCTTTAGCTTGAAAGTATTATTAGTTAAATGGAAATATTTATTGAATTATGATTAAATGAGTTGTGTGAAACATGTATTTCTGTTTAAGGATAGAGGCATATATATTTGCAGTGGCCAGATTGTGTGTGTGTGTGTGTGTGTGTGTGTGTGTGTGCCAGAATATTCATTCAGTGCAAAGAAGTTGCATTAGTACAAAACAGCAACACATTCTTAAATAGTTCCTTGTATCAAGCCACATTGTGTACTCGTCATGAGTATTTGACACAGAAATGCAAATAAAGAGGGGGGAAGTGAGAGAGTGTGATACAGTAATGTGCAGAGCAAAGGCTGTGCACAGGTGCAAATTGAAGTTGTCATTCCTTTAGGTTCAGGCACTGCACAGAATAGGAAATAGGGAGAGCATAGTGCAGTGTGGGGAGTTGCAAAGGAGGGGAGCATGTTTGTCATTAAATAACAACAAGTATCACAGATAAAATGTTTGATTGACAACAAGTCTCCAAGGAGACAAAGAAAGAAAGAAAGAAAGAAAGAAAGTCAAGAATTTAGATATTGGCATCACCAATTCCACAGTTGGTTATTCAACTGAATAATCAAAAATAGTTTTTGGCCTCAAGCTGAAAACATGTGAGAAAAAAGGTTTTCATTTTGATTGTTATTTTGAAAATTTGGAAAGAGTAAAGGCTCCTTACTGTTCTGAAATGGGTACATCCTCTTGGGTCATTATTAAGCTACTGCGATGCCCCCTACAAGAAGAGTGGAAACAATATAGAGTAATGTGCAAAGAAGGTGTGCTGTTTCAGTAACTTTGAACCAAAGGTTTTATCATCAAATAAACAAAAATAGCTTTATTTGTTTATTGGGTTTTTTTTTTAGCTTCTGTTAATAGATGTACACAAAACAAAATATTCACTGGGAGAAAATAAAGAAACAATGAAGAAAGAAAAGGGTCTTTTGTTTTTTCCTTGAATCATCAAATTTGGTTTTTGCCTTCTGATTGACTAAAATCATTATAAACAACAGTCTGAGTTTCTCCAGAGCTGAAATTCACATAGACAGTGTCACATGCTTTTGTTAAAACATCAGGAAAATTAAGGAAAATCTATGATTTCTTTTGGTCATAGTAAAACGACTAATTCTAGGAATTGAATTGGAGCCAATGTTAACATTTTGTCAAATATTTCAGGTTCTGATTCACACCTTTGATAGATTTTCATTGGTTCTACAGGTTTTATTTAGGAGTAATATTTTGAGAGTTAACAATCTAAGCCTGAATGGTATTTGTTCAAAGCAGAGAGAGAGAGAGCAAAATTACTATTTAAATAATTTCGCTCAAGAAAAGTCATCTACCTATTTCTTCTAATTTATTTAAGAAAAAAGTATATATCTTCAAAGTTTCCTGATAAAAACTGGAGAAAATTCTAATCAAAATATTTTATAAAATTGTGGAGGTGGGGAGAACGATTGGCAGAGCCATGTGCACAGGACTGCAAAAGCAGATGAACTGAACTAATTCCATTCAGCTTGGTACTTAGACTGTTGTTAAATTGTAGAAAAAGTAACATTAAGGAAATCACAAAAGTTAAATAATAGAAAATATTTTCAACAACAGAAACAATAAATATGTTTGTGTGTGTGCATTTGTTTCTTTTTTTTATTATGTGGTACTGAATCAAACTTAAGGGTTCAAGCTGAAAAGAAATACAAACATCAGAGGAAAGAAAGACAAAATAAAAATGAAAAATCTTTTATAGAAGAAGGAAATCAGATGACAATTATAAAAAATTTAATCAAAGAGAATCTTACATTGCTTTTTTTTTTTTAAAGTATTAAATGATTCAAACCAAAAATAGGTCATTTTAGGGAAATGTGAGAAATCTGATAATTTCATGCAATGATGTTAGTTTGTGTGTGTGTATATATATATATATATATATATATACACCCATGCATACAGCCAATGTAGCAGCAGGAAGAAAAAGAGACAGAGACAATTGAAGAGCAAAACTAATTGACATGCCAGCAGATTCTGCAAATTCCGACTGATTATCTTCCAATTCAGAGTACGGTAGATTTTATTCTAACAATAACTAATTCCATAGTGCAAAATTCAAATAATTCCATAAAAATGATTTCCACCTTTATGTTGAATGCATTGCCTAAGAATTTCAAATCAACGTGCAAGCCATAAAAGATTTCTTCAAGTTTACAAGATTTTAAAGACATTTTCAGTTTTGCTGATTTTAGCACATGTTGCAATTTAACAGCAATGGGTTTTATTCTTTCATTTCCATTTTAAACAAAACAAGGTGCACTGGCAAAAACAGAATTAAAGTTTTATTCAGTTACCTGCCAGTGACTTGCAGTTCACCCATCAAAAGAAGCTCTTCACCTATAAAGCTGCCTTTGATAATTGGGTGGGTAAAATGGAATGAAACCAGTAATGATAAAACCCATCAAATTTTTTTTTCTTTCTTCTATTATTTATTTCTTTGTTTGAAACAAATTTGATCCCATAAAGGAATTTATTGATGTTCCTTAGTTATGCATAAGGACAGATCTGAAGGAACCCCTGTAAACGATAATGCTGCTTCTAAGAAACTATTGCATGTTTAGATAGCATCTCTTGAAATAAATAAGATATACACCAGTAAAAATATTGTCATGCAAAAATGATGAAAGTTTTCAAGAGTAATTCTTGGCATCAATTCTGTTTATCCTAAAGCATAGATCAATTGTTTTGAATCAACCTTAAACATTAAAAAACTTGCAAACAATTTTTGGTCAATAATTTACAAAGAAATTTGGTTATTTGAAGAAATAAGCTAAGAAAAAATATTGCTTTTAAAGAATGACATGTGGTGGTTATAATTTAATGGTTTTAAGTTAAATGAAAAAGTTTAGATATGCAATAAAATGCAGAAAAACATACATATATGCCTACTAAAATTCATATCTATATAAGATTTGTATTAAACAGATATTTATATTATAGTTAATATAGATATTTGTATTCATGTTGGAACATATCAACATGTTAACATAAAAAACATTTTTATATTTAATATTTAAAAAACTAGTAATGAAAAATGTATATCATGTATTTTTAAATTTCTAAGTTTTACATAAAAATAAGTGAATAAAATAGCAAAACAAAGAATGGAATGCATACAATCAAAGAATGATTCCACAACCAAAACATTCAGAAATCCAAAAAGAACACAACATCCTGTTGATAATATGTGCATTCCAATCATAAAAGGATTCAGAAAAAAATCACAGAAAATTGTTGTTTTCAATGGGGTGGGGGACATTAATTTTCTTAGAAATAAAACATAAATATGTTAATTAAAGTGGGGAAAAATCTATCACTCAGAACAGATTTTCTTTGTTTTTCCATTAGGAACATTTTCTTTGTTACACTCATCCTTCCCCCTTCTCTATTGTTGGTTGCTTAAACCATTTTCTTCTCTCTGGCAAGCCAATTCTTAGAACATTCCTCTTGCCAATTCTAGTCAATTCCAAACAAACAAAGAACAACAAACTAAACTGGGTTATTTTTTTATTTATTTATTTATTTTTTTTTTATTTAATTTTTTATTTAATTTTTTTCATGTTGGCTGTACGAATCTCTGCTGCTAAAGTATAACTTCTGTTTCTGTGTGTGCATGCAAACTCAGTTTACCAATTCAATCTGCATTTCATATATATATATATATATTTATGATAGCTTAGTCTGGCTCAAGGCCGTAAATGTGGAGAACCTAATGAGAATAGAAATAACTAAAATAGAAATATTCTGCAGGGGTTGTTAAGCATTACACCATGGCAAATCAGCCAAGTTTTGTGAATAATGTAGATTTTATCATTGATAAAATCTCTTTAGCTGTTAAATTGTCACATATATTTCATATATTGATGATTACTAAAAGCTATTTTGGAATGTTACTTTTAATGGCTGTAAACAACAAACAGAAGAAAACAAATCTACAGATGATATCAGCAACCAAGATTTTTGCCCTTCACACTGATGGCAGAGCTGAGAGAATTCTGTTTCACCCTAAAAACGTCAGTCTCATGCATGCTTGGTCCCCACAGATCAGCTGTGATTGGCCAACAACCAAGCATTACTGTTTCCATGCAAATAAATGCCACCTGCATTTTCTCACTATCCTCTCCAAACAGTCAATTATAAAGGAAGACATCTCTTGTAGGTGAAAGTATCAAATGGTCAACAAACACTTCAAGGGAGAAGTGATTGTTTCCAGTGCACCAGATGCACGCCAAATCAGGGTCAGTTCTCCCACTTGTACCCAAGTCAGGGTTTCTTTTCTGACTTGTCTGATTTCTTCCTATAGGCCTAAGATAAACATTATATACTTGAATTCAAGCAAGATATTCTTTCAGTAGTGGAATTAATTATCTTTAGAAACATTTAAAATTATCCTTTTCACTGTATTTTTTATATTAAGCCCAGTGTGTAAAGGCAATGATTCCAGTAGGTCAGTGTAGATATAATCCTTGAACAGAGTACGGAATGTCAAATCTGTCAGAAACTAATTCATATTGGATAATTAAGATCAAAATTTTGTTTATCAGGAAATATTAAGAAAATGCTTTCAAAAGCGGTAACCAAACTTAACAGTTTATTAAAGTAATAATCATAAAAGATAATTTCAAATGGACTTGACAACGATCCTGAAGAGGCAAGTTTTGTCAATGTTTGTCCAATTATTTCACAATTGATTAAGAGAATAATGACTGAAAATATTGTGAGGGCGGAAGATGAGCGTAACAATAAAAAGAAGAGAAAAAACAAATTTGAAGCAGTGATTGTACATATATTTAAATTCTTTCAAAAATGGGAAGAATTCATTTTTTTTTTGTTTTAATATCATTGCCAACAGAAATAAACATCCAAATAAAAAAATTAAAAAAAGAAAATATAACTGTTGTTGGCAATGAAATTGGATTTGTCTATTTTATAAAATAAAAATTAATTGTTACTAGCCAATTGGCCACCATAGTAACATGAAACAAAATACAAAGACCCACAAATGTTTCTAGTTTGATTTTTCTTTTAACAATCATTGTGAAATGTGTTTGAATTAAAAAGACTAAAGCTACATAACATTAGTTTGCAACCACAGAAGACATAACAGGAATACTGCTTGCATGTCACAGACAAATGAGGATGATGAGGATGAGAGATGAGAGCTGGAACTGATCTATGAAGTTGAGTATGAGATAATATTGATGTATGGTTGAACATCACTGGTACAACAATCACAGCAAAAAAAAAAAAGGAATGGAAGAAAAAAAAAAAAAAAAAACAAAGAAACAAACAAAACATTTTACACAATGCTACAAAATCCGAATCATTTTTCACTCCTGAATTTTTAAACTTTGGCTTTGAATCAAGAGTCAAATTTGATGAGCAGATAAAACACATTTTATTCTTGAACATTCTTTCTTTTCAACCCACAAGAAAATAAAGTCAAGCTGACTTTTCTAACCAAGCTTAAATGTTGCCAAGGGAATTGTTTGATTTAAAAAGAAAAAAACCTATTACTGTTAGCAGTTTGGGTTAAAAGCAAAAATTTCTATAAAGTTATAACCAAAATTGATATACTACCTTTAAATGAAAAAACTCTTAAAATCAGGCATTATTTGTTATTCTGCAGAAGTCTGATGATAAAATGACATTCAATTTTTTTTACTGAATACAGACTGGCAGGATTTCAGA